ATGCACTCTTCGTGCCGGGACCACCGCAAAATTGTCACGAAGCCCACAAGACCAGTGCGCCGCATTGCCATTATGGACCAGTGAATCTGCTAAACCACACTTCCCGCTTACCGAGATCTACCAAAGAGAACATTCCCTGTTGCATCTCCATGTGTCCAAGGCATCTTTATTACGTTACTCATAAGAAGAACTTGTAAAAAGTGTACACGTTTTTTTCAAATTTAGCAGAACTTTAGGTGTAAAAAAACCTATGCCAAAATAGGGAACAAGTAAAGCAGGAACACAAAAACGGGAAAGGCACCATGAAAGATAAAACTAACTGGTGAATAACAACAAGACATAATAAATAAATCTATAATAGAATATCTTCAGTAAATCTCTATAAGAAAAAATTCACGACAGCGTACGCTAAGCGCTTATCATAAGGAGAATGGCTCAGTTAAAAATGAGCAACATGCAATTGGAAGCTACAGAGAAAAAGCGAAAAAAGAGCAAGTTGGGTTAAATTTGAGTGAAACTTTCTCCCAGACCGGAGTCATCGCCCATGCATCGGTTGGTTGCCTGAAAAAAATTGTTGAAGTCATGCGCATAAAAGACCTAAAACAAAAAAGCTGAGGAAACTGTCATTATATATTATTTCGCTTCATAGTTATTTTGTTCCTTTACCATGACTGGAGATAACTAGATTTATTTTTTAAGATTCATTTTATAGGGTACGTGACAAGACAATCGCAGGGTGAGCGTCGCGTGCGACGTCGCACCCGGAAATGATGGTGATCTAGGTCGTAGATGGCAGCACCGGATAGCGTATAATCAAAAATAGCCACAAGCGCTTAGGATTTCGTAGCCGTAATAGACATTCGTAGTAGAAATTCGTTGCTCCAATTGACAGGTAAATTCAAATGAAGAGAGCGCCGCGCTCACTGTCGCGCGCGACACAAACTACGAATGTCTGACCGGCTCATTATCTTATTCATCCAGCTGATTTACGAAGGTAACGTCTGGTTCGCTGCGGATGGTATTGTTGAGGCATGGGTTACGTAAGCTTCAACAGTTGTCCATTGGGACACTTGCTCCTTTCAACAAGTGGAGAAGAGGCTCAGCGCCGCGCCAAACCCAGCCTCTGCCGTGTCATCTGCAGCTGACAGACTGTGTACTTCATAAAGGACCATGCGCAGCATTTCCTTTCGAATGCGGCGCAGGTCACCCTCTAGGTTAGTCTATGTGAAATTTGCAACTTTCTTACGGTTGTTAGAATCATGATAATGTGTCTTAGAAATTGGCCCTCTATCCAATGAAACATGATGTATCTTACCGTAACTGCCTTTCGTGCTGCCATTTCTTTGCTGAAGCACTTCGGATGGCAGATATGACCGGCACGGACAGGATCCTCGGTGAAGTAGCAGAGACTTATTACCTAAAAGCTTTTCAGAATAAAGACGACCAATTGTAATAAGTTTGATGCATATAATTTGGAGTTAAGACGTCCTCGGACTTCTGTGATTCTACGCGCCATATCCCATCGATGCGGGGGGCGTTGCGGCGTGCGTCGAGTGAAAGTGACAGCGGATACGCTTTCGGGAAAACATTGCCTTTTTGGCACATTATTACAACTTTATTCGCACAAACAGGATGAAAGTTTTCTCTAACGAAAACAGGCACACGAAAAACGCATCCTATTCTCGCTCAAGTGGGGTGCCACGCCCTCTCCATTGCTGGGATATGCACTGTGAAAGAAAGGAAAACTAACATCAGACAGTAAAATCTCGCACTTGTTTCACACCTTCTACTTCCACTTCGTGCGGGAATTTTATCGTCAAATTTCATTTTTTAACCATGGAAATTACTGACCTCTGCCTGTACGTGTCTCTTCAGCATAGAGCACCCTCTACAAATATATGTTGCCTTCTCTCCATAGGTGTCATCAAAGCGATTGTATACATAGCAGAGATCCGTCTTCGGAATATGGTAGATCAGAACGGGTTGTCGTGAACGATGAGCTTGGGCGAGAATTCCTGGATAGAATCCCCCTTCTTCTACGTATGGTACGGTAGTGTCGCTGACATCAGAAAATGCGGCCGAGTTATTGAAAATTGAACTAGAAGAATGACATTTGTTCCTGGGAGGAATCGTTCATATAGCTTGGAATATCGCCAATGTATAGAGGCTCCGCTGGAGTGCTCTCATATCCGTAGGGTTGAGCATCTGGGGTAGGAAACGTTGTCTGAGATTCGAAAGGCAGTGTGGGCAACCCTGCTTGGTTCATGTCCGGGAACTGCATGGATGGTTGAGCATCATATGAGGAGTAGAATTCTTCCATGGGTGGATAAGGATTCCCATAGGCGTCGTAAGTCTGGGTGAAGGATCCGTAAACGAAGTATGGAGTAGGGGCAGTTTCAGTGTAGTAGAAATTGCTGTGGAACATGGAAGCGTACATCGTAGTATGAGTGATGACATGGGCGTGCCATGTCTGCATAGGAGGATACCCTGGGGTTACGTCGAGACCTGAGGTCATAGCCGAAACTACTTATTAGGAGGGCGTCAGCTAATGGTCAACTTCTGGAGGGAATACCTTGCGCATAAATGCTTTATTAAACCAGCCCCTAAGTCTAGAATGATGATCAATTCCAAGGCTCTCTGGTCAAGAATCGTAGTCGAATTCCAGTTCCTTAGGCGAGGGCGTCAAAAGCGATTATCTTCCCATAGGTTGTGCCGTTTGAGAAGGGGACACTTTCAGAATTAATGGCTTCCTGTCAAGCCCAAGATTGCTCCCTTGCTAGCGTGTCCGTAAGCTCGTGCCAGCAGATGTTTCCTAACAGTATATTCCAGTCAAGCATTTGAAGGCAGGAAAACAAGGAACAGGGAAGCGAGAAAGATAGAGTAGGAAGAAGGAAGGACGAGGGAAGATTTGCGTTCTTCCATGGAGGCTTGGTGGGTCGGCGTGTACAAAGAGATTCTCTAGAGGACTTCTTGGAATTTAATATCGGCCGCCCACCTGAAGGAGGATGGTTCAAGAGCAATCCAGGAGCGAGTATTGTGGAAGAGCGGGCAGGAGGCGTAGCAGTAAAGTTCACCCGCCAGGCGTTTTCTTACTACTGGTTGTTTCCTATCTGAATCAGCCATGTTGATGGGAACGCAGCGGCTGTTGGACTCATCCACGACCACGACCGGGCGTCTGGACGTCAGCAATGCCATCGGATAGCGTGCCAAAATTGGAAAGCGGAGAGCTGACAGATTGTGTTCTAAAACTGACCTCAAAAAGCCGATAGTTAGTAGCGCTCACTCTCATAGGAGCCACCTTCGAGGGCGAGTCCAAGGTCGGGCTCCGTCAGGGTAGGGCCGACGGAATAAGATCAAGCCTCTTCAGTATCCGGGAAGATCGACGCTTCTTCACTGGCAAAGTTCGTCCTCGTTTGCACAAGATTCTTGGAAGGGCCCGGGTCAAATACCCCAAGCCTCGAACACATTTACAGTTACAATGAAGTAGAAAGCTCTTGTTTCCTACTGATGCTGGGCGTACAATGTAGCAGCGTAGCCAGTCACTTTGAAATAGGCGTCCCGCAGAACACTGTGTGAATTGCGGAGGCAACCATTTTACAGACGCCTAATTTTGCATCTGCGAGGTTATTATTTTAACGGTGGGGATTGCCGGAAGATGCGAACGCTTTTTCTCTCGTTTGCTACAGCTGGCATTTTCTCCTCTCAAATATGCCGTCTTTCTCCTACTTTTCCTTTCCATCAACTTCAATATTATTATTTGGCATTTTACGATATTTAGAATACAGGCGAGAGTCAGTCCTTATATAAAAGTGCCTTAATTTAACATCTTTCCAAGCATCTCAGTAATTGCAGGATCCAATTTCAGAATGTCCTTCACAACAGGAAAAATTTCTATCAATGTTATTATGATACAAACTCGATGCTGCAAAATTTAATTTTCCATATGTTCAGTAGATTTAGTGAAGCAAAATAAAAACTGTTTTATGTCTGTCTTCTTAGGCGGGGGGGGGTGAATTCTTGTTAAAAGGGCTTAAAAGGCACATTTCCTGAATTAGAACATATTCGAGCGCTCAAATACTAAGGACAGCTAATCAATGTAACTCAGCAGATAACAAAAATTGTTTCCGAGATGCCCTAGATATTTAGACCGTGCGCCGTGGCAGAGCTTGCACGAGCAGAAGGCGAATAAGAGGCGTGGTTGGACGATTTCTCACCTTTTGGTATCATAGCGATATCAGCTCTGTTCCCTTATCCTTACTATCAACATTCGGAATGGAAAGAGCTGGTAGCGGAACAGTTTGCACCATCTAAAAGGGTAGGATATATGCTGACTCGGGTGTGGGCACGAGGCAGGGCTGGCGGGGCACTGCCTCCGCAATAAGTGGCCGCATCTTCTACGGGCCGTGCTTTGATGCGAGCAGCCACCACCTTGTCGAAAGGATGAGTCGTCACGTATCAGTTGAATGCTGAATGTGCCTTGAAGCACATTCAATATCTGCAGCCAAAAAAGCGTGGCACCTTTGGACGCCATTTTAAGATATCATCCTGCTAGTTTTGCGTTGCGATTATTACCATTTTCATGGTCGCTCACCGTATGCAGTATGCCGTGACCGTCTGTCCACTCAACCGCGTTGAGCTCCTTTTCACATCTTGTATAGCAATTTTTTCAGCATGGAACTCGAGTGTAGTATAGCAGGCTGTGTAGCTGTGGTTCACACAACCGTTCCAGAGAACAGCAAGAAAGGTATGTCTCCTCTCACTTCATTTTTTCAATAGTCGCATTTTTGTATATGGTTCAAAGTTAGGCATGAACTTGAATTTCAATTTTTTTGAAATGGATAACTACCGTAATCAGTAGGAATTTCGGACATGGAAGATTTAGTGTTGGGTCTGAAGCAAAACCGAACAATTCAGGTCGAAAAGACGTTCTTCTGCGGCTGAAAGATCCCGACGGCGAACTGTTGTCAGAGGTCAAAGTACCGTGGCCGGATGGAGAGCCCGATCCATGCGAGGTGACTCTCCATTCTTTCGTTTCTATTTTCTTTCGTTTGAATAATGCAGGACTCTCGCTCCGTGATAGATGTCATTACACGCTCAGAGTATCTTTGAGAAATGCTGTGTGGCGTAGAAAGCACCATTTTCTTGCGAGTTTGAGATCTGTTGTTCAGCGTACATACTTCGCGTTAGCGTTTTGAGCGGCTGGGAATCGACCCAGCGTTTCCAACTTGCTAGTCCGATGCCTATACTTTCCTGCTCAAAACGCTCCAAAACACTGGCGCACGATCACAACGCTGTCGTACGCTCAAGGCGCTCGCCGAAGTATGAACGCAGTCTTACCATCTTGCATGGCCTGCATTTCCTTGGCCAGCGTACTCACTAGCAGCGTATTTCCAGGGGATATAGTGCTTTTATTAGCACAATGACCCATTATAACATGCCTAAAATGTGCAGATTCCTAGCCTTAGAATAACCTATGATAAGGCTTTTTGAAAGTGTCTGCTGCTTATACACCAGTTTCGATATTTTTTATTGATATCGCCATTAAGATCACATATCTCGATTCGGAGGAATGCGTGAGGCTGACGAACAATGCTACTTTTGCTAATGTCCCATTACGGTGAGTCAAATTTTCGTGCATTAGACCTCACTGTTGTTTAATCTGGCTAGTTTCAGCATATCTAGACTTCATGAAGTGGTTGCTAATCGACGGCAAACAAAAATTCCTAAACGGTTTTCAAGTTTTTCAAGTACTCCTTGCCCACTGGAAGATGCTGGTCAAAAGAAGCTTCATGCTGCCTTGAAAGATTTTGTAAAAGAGCCTGTGAGTCA